GATACGGAAAGTTGATTTTTAGCAGCCTAGAATAAAGGAGCAACGACAGCAAGTAGCCTGGATTTCTTGTAGAAGTGGCAGTACACTAGCCTGATTTAACAGTTTTTCCAGTGCAGTTGTATTTAAACGTTTCGTGTAACACACGTTGCCCCACCTTGCTGATATTTGGTGAATTCCGCCTTTCAGTTTGTGGCACTCGCAAATTAAAACGTTGGCGCAAGAACGTACTGGGTGAACTAAGTATAAATGGAGACTAGTAATCTAAAACAAACAGTTTGGTACTGTAATGTCACAGTAACAGAAAACGTGCTACATCCACAGTCCTGCCCATTTTACAAACTCTAGCACAACTGTTAATAATTGAAAAGTCAGCGGCCAATCCTTGGCAAAGAAAGTAATAATGGCGGAAGGAGAGAGTGTGGACAAAATAAAAGAAAAAAGTTGAGTGCCCTGTTTTTCCAAAAAGCGCGTAGTGAATCGCTCCTTCTTTTTCGAAAAATAATTTCAAAAATTTTGTGATCGCGCGGGAAAGGAGAGTCCGAAAGACGGAACATAGTGATCGACAACAGCGGTCATTGCGTCTCAACAAATCATACCGATGCTCTTAGGGCAGTAAACAATCACTCGGGTGGCCTTTGAAGAAGTAATGCACACGCGTAAAACGGGCGGTCGGTACCAACAGGAGAAGTGTAGGATCGAAGGATGTGCTTCGCCAAAAATATAAATTCGCCTTTAATTCCTTTTTCACTCTTTTTCTCTTCATTACAAAAAAAATTTCAGTTAATTTGTGAATAATATTTATCGTTTGTTACGTCAAAAAAAGTCAGTGGTAAAAAATCCACTGTTTAACCTGTAATTCCTGACAAAACTTTTAGCCAGTTTTATTTTCCGGTTATCAGAAAAAATTAAGTTTGCAATTTGCGAAGTTATTCCATAGCCAAAATCTGATGATCAATGGTCACAGGAGTTCTTTATTGGAGGCAATAAGTTGTAAACTGAATGAGAATGCATTGAAGTGTGCGAATTTATTTACATAAATATGACTTTTTTTAAAAAGAGCTTCCGTCGATAAGTGTTTCATTTCCTAAGTAAATGCTAAGTTTCCATTTCTTATATGTTTTTGCATAAATCTGTACGCATTTCGGCGTGTTCACATTTCTGCTTACAAACACATGTGAGCAGAAATGTGGAAAATTTAACTACAAAGCTGCGAAACAAAAAGTTAAAAATATTTAAACGGTGGCTCTGCAGTTGCGTGTAATAAGGCGAAATCAAAATACCCCTTCATCTGTTTCTCATCCTCTCTCCAATCCAGTCTAAAATCCGTAGCTTCAAGTTCACATTTGTGCTGTGAATGTAGAAGGCTGTAAACTCAGAATTTTAGGGTCCTAGCTTACTGAGGAATTTTGTATCGACTACAAAACGCCTGAACTACCTGGAGCAACTGTTAATTCACAGCTGAATGCGCATTTACGCAGTCGGCAATTTCTCCATCAATTGTCATCTTGTACTTGCATCTACTCCATCCCGAACATTGAAGCAGTGTGTAATCGACAGTCTTCTTATTGCTTTTCTGACACATCGTGGGTACCATTCAGCTATTCGATTCCGCCACCTGTTACCTGTCATTCTTACTACATGACTAGCTCAGTTCCTCTTTTTGGCATACACATCACCTTTACTATGCCTTCAGCGTCTGAATATGACCGCAGTTCGTCACTGGTTGTATGTTGCAATCTACTGACATCAAACACCCGTCTCTTCAGTGATGTCAGTGTTAGCCTTCGCGAGAATGATATTCCAATGCGAAAGTGATATTCCAAATTTCGCATCCGTAAAGCGCTAGCGATAGGACAATGGTATTGAAAAGCTCCGGCTTTATACAAGATGCTGTTTTCATGTTTGAAAAATCTAACAAAATTTGGTGAACCCATCCCACCCAGCTTTCTTATTTTATTCACTTGCCCGCCAGACATTTACACCGCTTGTTCCAAGTAAACATACTTGTCTATACGTTAGACTTTTCAGTTTCACGTCTTACTGCTGACGTTTCATCTGCTTTCCACTTGGTTTTCCCACTACAAATTCTATTCTAATGACGCTAAAACTGATGTTTAGCTCATCCAAAAGTTTTTGCAACGTTTAGGATTACGCAGTCCAAGTACCATCCGTAAAAAGGAGGGCATCTAACGTTCTTAACCATTTACTTCGAATCCCTTAGTCGCTTTTATCGCCCGTAAAACCTCTTCCAGTGCGTTTGTGAACGCGTTCGGTGGGCAAGTGCTTTCTTATTTTGCACTGCTGATGATCGTATTTCCCAAAGAGTTTTCGAAAAGCGCTGCACAAATTTGTCAAGGAGTTCCTGACATTTTTTTTCAAGACCTTGTCCTAAAAGTGATTGTGGCACGATGTTGGGTTCTGCGATGAAAAGCAGAAACGAGACTCACAACGAACTGCGTCGCTCAAGATTTCTCGTAACCTACTGGAATTTTGCCGGAACTTTGATGTCCCAGAAGCCGATCCTTTAATTTTCATAAATAAGCTACTTTTTGGAATTTCCTTTTGCAGCCAATTAGAATATCGACAGTGCTAATAAATTTCGAAGAAAAGTGACGTTTTTGCATTATTCATGAACTATGTTCATGCTGGTCTGCGCCAATTTGTCTAAAATTTCAAATTTGCTCAAGAGTCAAAGAACTGCAAGCAGTCAAAATGTTTCCTTCTTTAGTTCATGGACTAAAAATTGTATTATTGTATTTTGTACGTCGAAAATAACACATTTAATTCCGCACTAAAGTTTTAGCGTTTATAGAAGGATCCGGCATGGGGCATATGAATGGGGCTGGGGCAAGCTTAATTTCACTTTTTTAGGAAAAATGCAGGAAACTTTGTGGTGTCATGGCTTTCTGCATACGATTTCCTGAATTTAAAACATTATTAGCACTTTTTAATTTCCAACGTACTTATTGAATTGGGAAAAAATGCTTCAGTGAATCTTTCCAAAACTTTCTAACAGGTTGCTATCCCAAAAAAAAACTTGAAAAAGTGTTTCACCATTTTCAAAAGTTCTGGCTACGCCTTACTTTCAGCCCAGTGAGCCTTTTAATGATTTTCAGACACCTCAAAGAATTAAAAAAAAGCATTTTGTGATAACCCACGTTTTAAAAGTAAAGCGCCAACTACCAAAACCTTTTCAAAGGATTTTAAAATAGTGGCTGCAATATAAGGGTCAGACTGAATTTTCCAGAAAATACTAATATCTATTGCTTACATCAAAGTAATATTAACGGATCCAAGCAAAGCTGTAACAACAGCTGCAGAGATTACCATCATTTTTGAATAAAAACGATATAGATCAAGTTACACGTCCTTGCAGCGAGGCATATTATTTTACTCTAAGTTAATAGACAACAAATTCTGAATTATAATCAGCCGGATTACGCCTGGATAAGCTCCTCGCAGCGACATAAACAAAAATTTTCCACAGCGCAAGCACCTATTGCAATTTTTTCGAAACAACAGGAACTGCTTTTCCAATCAGTTAATTTACAACAGAAATGCAATTTGGTGAGTATCGGCGTCAATATAATAAGTATTGAGTGCCAATATATTACAAATATAAGAGCTAATTTTTTTTTAAATAAATAATGTTTTATCTTATTCAAAAATGGGACATTTACTCTGACTTCACCAAGTTTCCTCTCGTTGGCTGTTTTCGCAACACGGTCCATATTTCTCAGAGGCAGAGTCATCATCATTTTGATGAAATCGCTTTTTGATAATGCATTTAGTAATGCAGTCAGAATTTTTCTTGAGAAAACCGTTTCTGAGCAAATTTGGCTAATGTTCCGGGCAGCTTTTGGAAAGCCTGTTGAACAGAACATTTTTTAATTTAGCTGCTAGTCTTATCATCGTGACCATCTTCCAAAATCAAGGTTCACGAAAACCAAATTATTATTCTGCGATGCTTCTATTTTCCCGGAAAAAAGTAAATTTTCGCCGTGTACCCTAGAACACTAAAATCAAAATCAAGACAGTAAGGCTACTGTAGATTATTTTCAAGCAGAGGTACAGATCATACATGTAAACCAATTTGTTCGTGAATTTAATCTTTTTTTCTTTAACTATCAAATCATTTGATTTTTTTGAAGTTCAAGAAACTAGAAAATTCAGTCAAAGGCAAATTTTTGGCGAGTAGGAGCGAAAAACCGATGGCTGATAAACAAATCTTAAAATATGAATTTAAATGGAAACGTAGGCTGGAACGCACCAGGCGAGCCGGAGCGATCATGCGTTTTTGCACAAAACTTGA